ACATGAAAGTATACAAAGTTTATCAAAATATAAGCCACATTTAGAGCAAGGTATAGAAGAAATCTCCTCAAAGTTCCCGCAAGCCTGTGGGTGTAAGTTTCTACCCTGCTTCCTGCAGAAACAACATCTGTTCTTACATTCAACACAAGCCACCTCTGATACTTATTGCATTTGCTGAATGCTGAAAGCATCTGAAATGTTAAACCTCTTGATCTGTCAGCAGTCGGATTTCTGAAAAGAGAAGCTACATAATAGCACAAAATGGAGAAATTTCATGTACCCAAAAGATATAAATCCCCAACACAACCAAATTCTCTTTCAATACACAACTGTAAAAGTTGTAGAAAAGACGTCCAACCTTTATCTTATAACATTCTCTTCATTTTCCTGTACACACATAGCTCCGTTTCCTTTAATGAGGTACATCCAAGGTCATTCAGTTGTGACTTAACCCATTCACTTCTCCAAAACAGGTTTAGATTAAATGCAGGAAGAGGAGAAGCATGTGTTTGGTTCTCATTAAGCTCACAATATCCCTCTGGGAAAAACAGAGGTTCATTAACCTAACTGTTAATGAAGGATAAATTGCTTATATTTAAGTGGGGGTTTACATTTTATTTTTATCCAATGCTCCAGTGTCTCGATTCTCATCAAAATGTGAGGCTGGCAGTTACTCAACAGAGCCCAGAAAACATCAGCAAATGAGTTTGCATCATATGAGTTGTGCACCTGGGGGAGAAAAGTGGTTAAAAAAGAAAAAAAAAAAACAGACTTGGGTTTTATGATTTAAGGACGTCCCCTTTAAAAGAGTAATAAACAAAAGATGCCCCTAGAATGTATGAAAAACAAAGAACGTGGTTGGGACTTGATTAAACGTCTATGCAAGATTTCATGTGATGTCAAGCACTGAGACACAGTTACTTGGCACAGACCCAGAGGCTGAAATAACAAGTAAGGGAGGGGGCACTGCTTCTCCATTGTCTTCTCCTCCTCCCCATCTCATATCTCGGAAGCATCCCCTGTATTCATGATCCTGTCCTGCTTGCATAGCAGTGGAGGGAAATATTCTGAGAGACTAATCAAGAGTCTGGACTAATCAAAAAGCCTGGTCTCGAACTCATCAAGGAACTAGGGTTTCTGGAGAAAGCAATAAAGAGAACCAGCTTATAACAATCTGTGCTGGTCCTATTTTATCTTGGGAAATTCCTTCTGATTTAATCTAAACACAATCCCTCAGTCCTCTTAGAATCCTGGGACTCTTCTTCTTGGGGAGTTATAATGAATGGTTTAAATCATCTCTCCCACTGGATTCTGGGCTCCTTCATAAGGGAAAAACCTCAGGTCTTTCATCCCTGTTGTTTTAGGGCTGAGCTCATAGTTGGTGCCCAATAAATGTTTGATGAATGTATGAATAAATAAATGAGTGAATACGGGGAATAAATTTTTCTACCTCAAGCACACCTGCCATAGACTGCCTGCCTGAGGATAGAGAATACACTCTGTGCAGAATTCTATTATTATTATTGATTATTTCCCCTCAAAATATACTTCAAAGTGTTTGCAGATATTAGTAACCTTAAATTTGTATCCCTATTTAAGCTACTCACATATTATACTGTTACTTTCTTCACACATTCACACAGAAAAGAAATGATTCCTTAGCCAACATTCTAGGCAAACTATCCTACCCTGTGAAAGTCAACACTTTGCAGATTACACGTCCCCCCCAACACTTTGCAAATTACATGTCCCCCCTCCCTTGGGGAGGATGCTAAAAGTTAAGATACAGGTCCCTGGTTCTGGACAGGTGATGTTCAGGACTTTAACAGGTAATAAGAAGAAAATAAGAACTTTTAACAAGGAGAAATGCCCACAGCTACATGCAGAGTTCCCTCCCATTGGAGGTTTCTGGCGGAGGTTGGAAGTCTGCAGAGCAGCACTGTGGAGAGGACCCCAACATCACATTTCAGTTAAGACGCCCCTGACCTTCCCTTCAACCCGAAATCCTAAAATTTCACAATTTAGCAGTGCAAAAAGAAGTTTTTGCTAGTACTGTGAAATAGTTTTAGGGACTGCAGCAGGGCAAAGACCAAGAGGGCTCAAGCCTGGGCTTCTCTGAACAGCAATGTCCTTACTGATCTCCTCTCCGGAGTCTTCATGAACTTGAAAATTCTAGCCAAGGGAGCTAGTCCTCTCTGCAGAAATCCTTAGGTTTCCCCAGAAGTGACCCTTTTGTTCACAGTACAAGGCCCTCCAACGTGTCACTGAATCTTCCCCTGGCTCAATGCTCTCTACGCTTTCCCGTCGAGCACTTTTTCCCCTGTGGAAGGGAGTTCAGCCTTCCTTGCAAACTAATCTCGGGCCTGTAGGAGACGGCACAGGAAAACGGGAGGCAGACTGATTAGAATGTTCTGATTCTGATCCTCAGGCCACCAAGGACCTCACTGATAATGGAAATGCAGTTTAATGTTCCTTTCAGTTCTGCCTAGAGGATATGAAATATCACCTGCTATCCCAGAGCCCGAGATGCAACCCACTGAACCCCACTCAAACGGGCCCGCTCTCTATTAAGACTGCTCTCCCAACTACATGAGTCGGGAGCTAAGACACTGAGCCCTCGCAGAAAGGCAGCCCAAGCGAAAGGAATGCTTGGATGATTCCAATGGCCCAGGGAATGTGACTAAATCTCCTGCTCATCAGCTGCTTTTGCTGTTGTTGTTCCAACTTTGCCACCACACGTTCTCTCTGATTTCAGTTTTACTAATAGAGATTCTCAGCTAAGCGTCCAGCGCACTGAGGTTTGCCTTCTCCAACACTTAGAAGTTTCCAGCTTTGCTGCAGAGGCTGGACGGGAGTCTACACAGTTGGCTTGCACCGTCAGATGGCTCCTTCCTCCGGCCCAGGTGGTCAATGGTCAAGGACGATGTGCTGGGTGGAAGAGAGCTGGGGAGGGTCAAGGCAGACTGTCTACTGTTTTGCTCAAAACAAATAGCGCCAGGGTCAGAAGCTGCTTATTCAGTCCCCACACTTTTAGAGAGAGCTCTTTAGTGCATTTTAGAGAAAACAAAAATGAAATGGGAAACAGAACCCTCTGTCCTCAAGTGGCTCAAAGAAGAAAGCACTTCAATGGTGCCTGAGGACAGGCTCAGGGTAGAAGACAAGAGGTGCTGGATATGTCTACCCATCAGCCCGGAGCAGTCCTGCCCTCTGAACCAGGCAAGAGAGGCCACTGCCCTGAGCTCTACTCCTAGAGGGCTCTGCTCTGGTCCTTCTCTAGCCAAACTCTTCCCCAAGGGGTGAGAGTCCTCCAGGCCAAGGGGATGCACCCACTTGGAGCCTGTGTCCCCCTTCAGGACCCTGAAATTTCCTGTCCAAATGGCCTCAAGCTGGCTCCACAGCATGTAGGCATCTCTCCTCCCCATCTGTCCTGAGGCTCACTGAGCCACAGTATGCCACCCCTCTAGGCTCAAGAGGGGCAAAAGGGACACATGCTTGCAGGGCCAAGGTGTGGACACAGCCTGTGTGGGCTCGGGGGGTCCATCCGCGTGAACCAAGAGATTTTGGCACCTATGGCGCCAGGGTGGAAGAGAGAGGATGCAAGCTTCAGGCAGGCCCACTGCTCCTCTAGCCCCCCACCAGCTTTCCCTCCACTACTTCCCGGAGTAGAACTCCAAGGGATCTGAGATTCTCAATATAGCCCAGCACGGCAGGTGGCCAGATAGATTTCATCTAATGTTTAGAAGTTTGATAGATAGCGTTAAAATAGTACGTGAACCTCCGTTTTCACCCACGCCCAGAGCTTCGAAGATACTAGGGTCTGGTCCTAATGCCCACCCTGCCCTGCCCCCCACCTGCCCACTAACTGCTTCTGGGAGGGAAAGGGAAAGAAAGACTAGCATTATTCAGGAGGTGGGAAGTGAGGGGGTTAGGGGGCACGTGGAGGTACTATAGAGCTCCTCGAACCAACGGAGAAGTTAAGGAAAATTAAAATTGCCAGAAAGAAATCAAAATAGAGCACCTTATTCCCCTGCGTTTCTAACTCCAGATGTTACAAGCACTCAGGCAAAAAGGTGTCAATCCTGTATAAGAAAGGAAGAATACGGGGCGCCTGGGTGGCTCAGTCGTTAAGCGTCTGCCTTCGGCTCAGGTCATGATCCCAGGGTCCTGGGATCGAGCCCTGCATCGGGCTCCCTGCTCAGCAGGAAGCCTGCTTCTCCCTCTCCCACACCCCCTGCTTGTGTTCCCTATCTCGCTGTCTCTCTCTCTGTCAAATAAATAAATAAAATCTTTAAAAAAAAAAAAAAGGGAAGAATACTCTCTTCTGCCTTGACAAACAGCGGGTGAAGAAAAAGGCTTGCATCACACTGGAGAGATTCAACCGAAAAGCAGCACCCACAGTAATCCAAGTTTTCCACAGCTGGTTCCAAGCGACCGTCCCCCACCTCTCGCTCACGGCACCCTGCACAAATTCCCACTGCAGGCACATCCCTACTTTGTGGACACACAGACGACTGGTGGGCCAGGCCCGTCTCTGATTCGCTCAGGCTGAGAGGGCCCCGGGCTGATGTTCCTGCCCCAGGTCCGCTGTACGCAACGTTCTTCCCAAGCCGTGGCACATCCAGTGCAAGAAGATGGGCCTCAGTGTTGAACTCACTGTCTTCGTTTTGCTCTCCCCGCCCCCAAAAGCAGAGCCTGAAACAAGGACTTGGGTGCAGGTGGCTTATTTAGGAGGTGATTCCAAGAAGCACAAATGAGGATGTGGGGAGAGAGAGACAGGGAAGGGAGACAAGGCAATATGATGTGCTGGGGCCTACACTTACCTAGCTTTCCCCTTTGCTACGGTGGGATGGGCCTGACCTTTTTTTTATTTTTCCCCCTCTCTCACGCAGGAATCCAATTATATAAGTAGTGGCAAATGCTCAGAGAGCCAAAAGCTCTTGTCCTCCTGTGTGGAAAACAATTCCAAACTATCCGTATTTTAATAAAAATTGTATACTCACTTGCCAGGACTGGAACGTAGCTGCAAATTCTCTTTGCGGTCTGGGCAACCAGCACACCTTCTGGTGATGGGTCATACAGTAACTGTATGGGTGAGGGAAAAGGGGCTGGCAGCAAGAGAAGCAAGAGCTCACGAAATAACTTAGATTCACCTCCTGGCCTGCCATGTCCAGGACAGCCCCAGCTATACTGTAAGACTGCGGGGGCAAATCCCCATATGCCCTTTGGGGTAGCCAGATGCTAAGCATATTAGACCTTGCCTGCACCCAAGCTCTGAAGCTCTCCTCTCCCCCAGCTCCCCACTTTGCCCGAGGCTGAGGCTACAGCACACAAGGCTGCCATGAGCTAGAAAGGATAGATTTCCTACCCTCCCTACAACACACAGTCAGCAGATGTCCCTTGGACTCTCTGACCTTATGACCCCATTCTGACAACTGGGTCTTTTCCTTATTCATCAGAACTGCCTACGACCTCCTGTCCTTCCCTGCTGTGTGTGAATCCAACTTCCCAAAGAACTAGTTGACTCAAGTGGCCAGATCACATTACTGACTTTCCCCTTTCCACCTGACCCACCACGATGACCCCTATCCCAGAGTGAGTTATGGCAAGGCGAATCAGAGAGACACACGTGAGTGCTGTAAGAGCTTCGGCCAGGATCTTTTCAAAACCACGCTCTGAAAAGACAGTGAATCAACTGTCTTCCATGCAGAGGTGACTTACAGAAGTCATTACTGCTTTGGCAGGACGTTGGGCTAATCAGAAAATAATGCTGCCTAATCGCGGGTAATCAGTGCAAGACAGAAGCGGGAGAACATCTCATAGTTACCTGGTGAGAAGGAGGGTGACTGACGACCTTACCCCTCCAGAGACGCCTCAGTCTACTGGCCCTCAGGTACTTTTCCAAGAGCTTAGGCAGCAGGTGAAAGGACTCACGTCAGGCATGAGGAACGATTTCCTGACCCTAATTAGGGGATTTAAAATATTTGGGTGTGTTCCTGAGGTGGTCCTGGGTAGCCTCCCTGTTTTCCAGCTTTTATAAATTTGTGAGACTTTTGGGGGAATGCTAAATCAGTGGTTTCTTAGCTGAATTCCAGAAACCTCTCAGGTGTCATGGAATCCCTCATTTCTATAAAACATGCTTTAAGGGGTTACAAGGATACTTGGTTAAGATTTCACTTTTTAATAAAAATTTACTTTTGACTATTTAAAAAGTGGTACTAGGGGCGCCTGGGTGGCTAAGTCATTAAGCGTCTGCCTTCGGCTCAGGTCATGATCCCAGGGTCCTGGGATCGAGCCCCGCATCGGGCTCCCTGCT